GGGGGGGCAAGGGCAGTACTTCTCCGACAAACCGAAAAATTTTTCCGACAAACCAAAAAGTTTTCCGGACGACAACATTTTAAATCTTCACCCCCCCGTCGACAACTTTGACAATTTCCGACAGCCTTGACAATTTTCCGACAATTTCCGGCAGCATTGGCAATTTTATGACGGGTGTCAACAATAGGGGAGGGCCATGCCCCCCCCCGGCCACGGCGCCACTGATGACAATCACTAGACGTATGAAGTCATTGACGTACGTCGACGAATGTTTTCACGAATTCATGTTTGTCAACAGAGCCCCCCCCCCCGGTAAATTTAGTTCTACAGCACTGCTGCAAAGTCTTGCAAAGTCTCTATTGCACTATTCGTACTATTCGTCGCCTATTCGTACTATTCGTCGACTATTCGCAAACTATTCGCACTATTCGTCGACTATTCGCGGACTATTCGCACTATTCGTCGACTATTCGCGGACTATTCGTACTATTCGTCGACTATTCGCACTATTCGCTTCACTATTCTAGTTTTATCAATTGCCTGTAAAAGGGGGGTAATTAAATACTCGCCGAGATATTTACATTAGAAAAATTGAATCGTTATGTAATGCGAAACCGGGCCGGTTGTCGAGAAAGAGTTAAATAGTACGTAAAGCTTTCGTTTTGTGCAAACACCACAAAAAACGTGGAAATGGCGTTTCAATAAGAAACCTTTTTACCAAGAAACCAAGAAACGTAATTAGAATATTATATTATTAAAATCCAACAATTCAAACACACATATAGACATGTTTTTCACTGATTTTACAGTGATATAAAAATATATTACTAGAAGTTAATCGGTTCTATTGTTATTCAAACATTTAATTTGCATAATACATGTATTTGTTTGCATTTTGCAGTGCTTTTAGTTTTTTGGATGAAATTTCTAACTCTCTTTATCTGGCTTGCCACATATACACACTGCGTACCTATTTTTTTAGTTAGTTTGTGAAAATGTACTGTATGTCAAAGTCATACAAATTTCACAGTTGTAACAGATCTTGAAGATTATTTTATTAATTCGGCTTTTTGTCCGTGTCATGGGCCGGATGCTCGCAATAGTTTCGTTTTGTAACTGCTCCCAGTTAGAGGCCTTGAAGTTCTATAGTTTTATTCAAATATTTATGCACGAAAAGCCTTTATATATTAACTCCAGTGAAACACGCAATTTGATTGGTCAACAGCCGTGCAGGATCAGACAATCCTGCACGGGAAATTCTGAACAGAAATTCTTGATGCACATAATTTTACAAATATACTCGCATTGTAAAGTTTCATTGCACGATAACTTTCGACTTTGAAGTAAGTTTGCAATTATTGAGACGTTGGTTTAGTTGTATGAATACATTTCTGACCGATACATTGCCGTTCAGCGAGTAGCAACGCGTAGCGTTGAAATTCATCAGATCATGGCAAGTACAACATTTCTCGCTTCAAAGTTCAAACGCTTCGCAATCCTCAAATATTCAGGTCGAGAATCTTCAAAACTACTTTGGCTCTCTGTTTAGCGGGTTTTCCATTTCAAATTTCGTATATTTTATCGAAAAAGTCTCTGTATTTTCGCTGTATATTTTCGCTGTATATTTTCGCGAATTTGCGATCAAATTCTGTTCACAATGTTGTTGTTTTCAATAGCGTGGAGTAGCGATTCTCCGATGGGTTAATTCACATTGTTGTGAGACTGCACATTTCATCAGTAATTTTAATCAAGTTAACCGTCGTTTCGCTGTAGTCATTTTATAAAACAATTACCAAATGGTTTTCCCGTGCAGGATAGCATGATCCATGCACTTGGCATGTTGCTCGACTTTCGGAAAGCGTAAAAATACACTCACCTACGGGTCGTGTATTTTCACGCTTTCCGAAAGTCTCCCAACATCCCGCGTGCATGGATCACGCTATCCTGCAAGGAAAACCATTCGGTATTCCTTTAACAAATTACTCCGAAACTGTGAATTATTGCATGATATTTAGTTATTTATCCTCTTATTATAGGTATAAATTAGAATGGCATTGGAATCGTTGAAGAACTTCACCAAGAGTATGTTCCCCAGTTTTTTCACTCCCTCGTTAATTTTAAAACCTTTGCCAGCATCAGCAGAAGATTTTCGAAAAGAACTAAATTCATTTCGAAACCTTGATCAACACTCCGAACCACCACCCAGAGCAAAGCTTTTTCACTGCATTATTTCAAGTGCAAAAATTAAACGTCCGTTTGAATCTGCCATGATTTTGTTGATTGGGAGTTCTGGAGTTGGAAAGTCATCAACAATAAACCATTTGCTTGATACGGGAGAAGGAGAGCCTGTTGCGATGACCAGCGCTTCAAAGTCGAAAACAAAATCAACAACTGAATATGTTCTTACCGTTGACGAGCCACGTTTCGAGGTGTGTGATTTAAAAATGAGTGTTATAGACACACCTGGTTTCAACGATGATGTAGGCGTAAATCAAGATGCTTGTAATTTTGTATCCATAAAAAGATTTTTCAAAACACATCCAAGTTTACCTGAGCAGTTTACGTATCCAAATCTTGTATTTTTGGTGGTGAACGCCAACGACAATCGGATCGAGGGTCCTAATAGCAATCTTTCTAAATGCCTTAGAGGCATTAAGTTGCTCGAAATAGTTGACACAAATTGCCCTAATCTCGTAGTAGTTTTAACATTTTGCTGCTCTGTTGGTCATAAGAATGTAACCAAATGGGAGAAAAAAATGGAAGAAAAGAAAGAGATGATTTCAAATATCGCGTATGAAGTGCTTGGAGTTCAAGCGCCAGTGGTATTGATAGAAAATGGCATTGATGAGCATGATCTTCAAGAAGATGGTGATTTCACGCTTCTTCCTAATGGTAAGAAACAGCCCAAGAATTTATACAATGCCTGTTTAAAGCTTCTTGAACGAAACAAGGATCTTTTTGGACAGATGGTTTTCAATTCTTCTTTCGAAAGAACCAAAAAGGATCGGCCAACAAACGGTCATGATATTCAGGCAAAAGATTCTCGTGTTGAAGAATTATCCGACGAAGAAGAAGAATTTTCGAATGCTTTTAGTGAAGCTGCCAAGGGAGGTAGGAAGGGAGAACTTCATGTATTTTTTTACTGTTCGTTTCTTCAGGTCAGCAACTTAAACCATAGTTAATAGAGGACAGGGTTTGGAAGGCCGGCAAACTTCAAAGGCTTTCGAGCTAATTAATTTCAGATGTTGGAAAGGTACGTCACGTGACATTTCGGGTGCATCAAATTCAGAAATTACTATAGCGTAGTATTATAGAAATATGCTATTGTGCTTATAAATTTTAAAATAAGGCATTGTTGTTCTTGTTATGGCTTCGACAAGTTCGGCATACGATTCAGAAAGCAAAATTCTTCCAATTCTGGGTGCTGGAGACGCAGATACAACGACGGAGGCGATTTTCATCGAACTATTTAGCTGCTGCAAATCAACGCGGATGAATTAACTGAAGAAATATCGCGTTCAGTTGAAGAAGTAAGTCCTTTATACTGTGTCCAATTAAACAATATGTAAATATGTAGTGAGATGCCTTAGACTTAATATTCGACTTATATTTGTCGTTTAGATTGAAGGATTAAAGCAATTCCTGTGCGAATATCGTCGCAGTATTAAGCACTGGACAAATTCTACATATAGCTAGTACTGCCAAACTAGGAAAACAAAACCCATGTTTATATATGACTTATCACGCATGAGAAGGCATTGTCGATCATTCGAGAGGTAGGGAAAAGGAAAGAATATGTTCATCCATGCAGAGAAGATAAAGTTGTTCTTTTGATGCTGGTGAATCCGTACGGTTGATTTTGCTAACCAGCAGATATTCTAAAGTTTATATTATATAAAACACTAAACAAACGGCATGCTTTAATTATTTATTTAATTTAATTTAATTTCGCCCAAAAAAAAATGTTAACAATATTTACAAAAGTTTACTAATTCATTATTACAGTAGGGCTAGGGGCCTACTAGAAACTTATAAGGCTTTTGTTTAAGACCCCTAGACTATGTTATATTTACAGAAACATCATTTGTTATAGACTAAAGATAATCAGTTCATAATCAGTAAATAAAGGTAATTATATGTACAAATAGGACAGTTTATATCAATGCAATTTGCATTTCGTTTTCATTTGATAACAAGTGTTTTTTAATACATGTTTTGAAAGAAGTGTAAGATTTAATATTTTTGTATTTATTTAAGAGAACATTCCAAACATTTATTCCTTTGTGAGCAAGAACATTCCAAACATTTATTCCTTTGTGAGCAAGAGACTGTATGTTTTGCATAGTTAGTTCTTTTGAAAGTTATGTGAAGTTGAGATGCACTTCTTGTGTTGTGGTCGTGAATTTCATAATTAGCTGTGAAATAATTGTTAAATATTTCGGGTAGATTTTCTGAATGATTATATCGAAACATAAATATACTGGTGAGGTAGCAATGTATTTGTTCAATGCTTAATATTTCTAGATCTCTAAAAATTGGTTCTGTGTGTTCGAAATAAGAATTAAATGTTATTAGTCTCATTATCTTTTTTTGGATGCTTACTAACCTTTGATATCAATATTTGCTTATTAATACCAGTATAAAATATCTTACTGTATATTAGACAATATAGTCTAGATATGAATGTCATAAATAGCAGGCTAACGTCTTACGTCCAATTGTCAATTACAAGTCCAGATATTGACCTACTATACAGTGATTCGATGTCTACTGACATGTAACTTGTTAGTTTTGATCATTCTGTCACATCAAAATAGAAATGTTATTCCAAAATTCCATGATATTTCTTATTTGATATTTCCTCTGTATGGTACAATATTGATGTAAGGGTATTAAACTTAGTTCTTATTCCTCTCCAAACGCTTTGTAGACCAACTGTTGGATGCCAGAAGATTTTACCTATGTGCAAAGGATTACATACCCAGAAATATTTTTTAATGTTTTTATTCCACTAGTAATTATCAGTGAAATCAGAAGAGCTTGGACCACTTGCTTATGTTGCTGGGAGGGGCCCACAGGGCTGCATGTGGGCACCAAATTCATGACTTAATGATATTGCTAGAATCCCTGAATCGTGCTTTAGAAAGCACACAAGAATTGGCCTCTCTCTTCCGCAGAGAAATGTGTCTCAATACTAATCGTAATCATGGCCAACAGAAGCCTCTGCGGAGGAGAGAGAGAATAGCCAAACCTACTTCTTTACATGTTGATAAAGTTGTCATAATAAGAACGTCCAAGCTCCTCCATTAGCAAAAAGTTTGTGGAATGACATTATTGAGCAATCTAATGTTGCAGTATCAAAAGAATGGCAGAGTCCTTGTGTTTTGAGAACATTGTTAAACTGTATGGCTGTTCAAAGTTTCTCATTTGCATGCAGGGATATTGTTAAGTACAATTGCAACAAAAAGCCCGAAAAGAATGAAAAAGGTTGACAGCCAAATTCAGATGTGAATAGTGTACTTATTCACTACGTCAGTGTGCTCCGATTCTAGCCGTTGTTGTCTCTCAAAGCACAATAACTCAAAGTTGAGCCTACCAATGTCTTGTATATTTGAAGTGAAACAAAATTTTGTGTAATAGTGATTTACAGTATATATTAATTAGTACAAATTTTTACAATATGTTTGCGATGTTACTCTGAGTGCATATCCACACCGGGCGAGCTTGAAAAATATGCCCGGCCACGGTGGGATTCGAACCTACGACCTTTGGAATACTAGCCCAATGCTCTTCCAACTGAGCTACGCGGCCGGGCATATTTTTCAAGCTCGCCCGGTGTGGATATGCACTCAGAGTAACATCGCAAACATATTATTCACCTGAGTACACAACACCAACACAGAAAAAAATTCATATTACTAGAACACATTGGTATTGAAGGAACTAGATACTGTTCCGAAATATCACTTACTCGAACCGTCCTGACCGCGTAGCTCAGTTGGGAGAGCATTGGGCTAGTATTCCAAGGGTCGTAGGTTCGAATCCCACCGTGGCCGGGCATATTTTTCAAGCTCGCCCGGTGTGGATATGCACTCAGAGTAACATCGCAAACATATTATTCACCTGAGTGCACAACACCAACACAGAAAAAAATTTTTACAAATTATTTAACTAAGGTAATATATTGTTCTAGTCTTATTGTTCACCTATTCATTTATAATCTGTTTCAATAATTATTTTGTACCAATGTACAAATTATTGCATATTGCCTTTTGAAGCAGTGTTGTCATTAAGTTTACAAGTAGGTGGCCGAAAAATGATTGAACATTGAAGGGACAAGACTCCTAGAGGGGTCTGGGTGCATGCCCCCAACCCGAAATCTAAACAATCGGAAATGCCACTCCCTGCATTTTGGAAGGTGTTTTACAGAGTTCTTAAGATTACAAAACATCCTATCAAAGCCTGACCTGTTTGAACTATTATATAATATATATATATATATATATATATATATATATATATATATATATATATATATATATATATATATATATATATATATATATATATATATATATAT